GAAGGGAAGGGAAGGGAAGGGAAGAGAAGAGAAGAGAAGAGAAGAGAAGAGAAGAGAAGAGAAGAGAAGAGAAGAGAAGAGAAGAGAAGAGAAGAGAAGAGAAGAGAAGGGAAGAGAAGAGAAGGGAAGAGAAGGGAAGACAACAAAACTAGATGGGGATGAGGCACTGAGAAGGAAAGGTAACTCATACAGAAGGAAAGAAAAGAGAAATAATCAGATAAAGGGCCTCTTCCTAGCAGCAGTTAATCTTCAGGCTTCAGACCTGTAGTGATCTGTACCTCATGCTAATTTCTTTGTTTTCAATGATTTCTACTATTGTTATCAATGAATGCAAGACAGACCTGCCTCTTTCAATCGCTGGTAATTCTTGGGGGGAAAAAAGTCTTCTTCTTAAGTAAATACTGTATTAGTTTTTCTAGGAGTTGCTATGTATGCTATGTAGCTATTCACCACACATGGACATGTGTTACAGAGGATTAACTAAGTAGCCTGGGTTCCTGAAGTTTACTGTGATATTTTGTGAACACATTTGCTGAAATTATGCCTTACAAGGTTGGCCACCTTGTCAGGCTCCTGGCATCAATGAGAACCACCGTATGATCTTGCAGGATAAAGTAAGCCACTCTCACCGCAGACATACTATAGATACACATGCACATGGCCAAAATCTTACAATACTGCCAAATCTTCTAAGATTTGGACAATCTCATCTCAAAGAACTTAAACTCACGAGCATGCTGAAATCTTGCACGTGCTTTCTTAAAATCTTGCAAGATCTCACGAGAGGACTTATAAATCTCCTGAGATTTGGTGATCTCTTGAAATCTTGCCCTTTCTACACATGATTTAATTTGGGGGTTCTACAGGCTTTATGTATGGGTGTCACAAGTGCTACACTGCTGACCCTGCATTATTTGTCCACTGTTGTGATCCAGTGTTTTACACTGATCTCTAAAAAGTGTTCTGTGTGAAGCAGCTCTAGAAGACTGAAGTATGGGCTTCTTTTCTTCTTTCTTTGCGGCATCAGCACTTGTAAGGTCCCCCTCGTATGAGAGGCGTGAATATTCGAAAGGATGGGTGTGTATGAAAGTCATGAGTAGAAGAAGGTTCTGTTTCTTTCAGGGAACTCTACCCAGAACTTACCTGGACTCCCAAGATGCCAAAAATGATGAAAAAAGCACAGCAAATCACAACAATGTTTCCAATGGGTTTCAGGGAGGACATCAGGGTTTCCACAACTAGCTTCAGTCCTTGTGCTCGACTGATGACCCTGAAAGGCAAATGTGGAACATTAACAGAATCCTAAAACATGAGAGTAGCAAATCACTTGAAACAGAGCCTTCAAACTATTCACATAGGACTAATCTAAACATAGAAAAGCAAAAAGGAGCTGCCAATGTGCCAGTGAGAGAGTTCTGCTGACTGACACCTATGCTATTCAAGAGACGTGAATGAGACCCAGGAGAGGAAGACTCTCTGTACTTATCCCACAGTGATAATCACTACAGCAGGCTAAATGTGATGCACAGTATTATCACTATACAATGGCTTGAAAAGGTGGTATTTCTCCTTAAAATGTCTATGTTTTTTCATCTCCCCCACCATGTCATAAAAAATCTGTTTCATGGGATTACAATAAGTCCTGCAGAAGCTTATACAAAAAAGTGAAGCCAAGTATAAAGAACACCGAGCTTATTCAGGACTAACACTGGAGATGTTTTGTGTCGTAGTGTTTCTGCTACTACAAATCATTGCCACTATCATTTAAATCCGTGTTTTTCAGACTTGGCAACTTTCAGATGTGTGGACTTCAACTCCCAGAATCCCCCAGCC